CATACTGGAGACAAGTCAATGTTTCAATTTGGCACGAAATTTACCCAAAAAAATCTTGCATGGCTAGGGATTGTTCTAGGAGCTTCCTATAGACATATAATTTATTGAGCAGTGGTTTAAGAAGCATTCTATTTCCCCATTGCAGCTACAATGACCGACGGATGATGGGGTAGCAAAAAATGATGCTGCTCATTTGAAGCATTTCCGATGTCCTGAAAGCTCCCAATGAATGGCAAACATTTGTTGAAATGATATATAAAGCTTCAAGAGTACGAGGAAATGGGCCACCAAATCCCAAGGTTGTGTGATGCATACCGGGCAAAGTGTCTGGATTATAGCACATTGGCAGCTAAGAACATAATCTGGGGAGTTTGTGATAGCATGGAATGCTTCTCAGTACATAGGCTCACTTTGTAATCAAGCAGAAAAAGGTCCAAAGATATCTGTACTGAATCTGCGCCACATTTCAATACAGTGAAAGCTCGGTAACAGCTGTGCTTGGTGTACAGCAAGACAAATAAAACCATGATATATATTATAGAGCTTTATTATGCTATGATTGACCATCATGGGTTAAGTGGAAGACATCCAGAGCTGGAATAATGGGTGTGCGCGACAATTGGCACCCTCTGGCCATTCCAAAGGCTGAATAGGTCTGGGTATTACATGCTTTAAATACAAGTTGTAATTAAAGCGATTATTCAGATATCCACTAACATCTCATGACAAACCTGCTGCCGAATTCATGTGATGCAAAGAATGCGCCACAATTTCCACAATGAATCTATGCATACAGGAGTACAATCAGGGAGACAGCCATGCTAGACAACATATCAGATGATATTTTTGACGAATAATTGCCCATATTGCAAGCTGTGGGATATTCCTGTGATCCCTAATATCAAGAGAAAAGGATGGTCCTGGTGAAGCCTCTCAGAGCATGAAGTTAGTCCGATTGATTCTCACATTAAATCAGCCCACCTCATAGCTGGATATGAGAGTAGTATTCCTGAAATGCATTGGCAGCTTTTTTGCGTATACGATGCCCATACCGTGGTTTTTGACGTCACTTTGATCGATCAATTATGAGAGTGCCAGAGGCGGCCGGAGGCCCAGGGGCCGGCACGACGCGCTGATGCGCTAACAAGCGCATCAGATTCACAAGTTTCCATCACGCGCTCTGGATTGATATCCAAATTAAGCCAACTGCAGTCATGGTTAATTTCAACGTAAACCTGTATCCGAAGAACCAAAATTAACCTATGACAAAGTCATGGTTAGTTTTAACTTGCCATTCTGTATCCTACCCAAGTTAATTTCAACTTGCAACGGTCAAACAAAATGACGGTTAGTACTAACCATCATTTCAACAAGGTTAGACTTAAGTAACCTCTCCTCATTTGCACCACAATTGCCACCCAAAATCGACTATTGACCTTTGACAGTCGATAGTCAAATACCAATACCTTGACCACCATAATCCACTGGTGGTCAAGGTTATTTCCACTGGTGGTCCGTGTCTGTACCACCAGTGATTCTAACCTTACCCCCAGATATCCCGCTCTAATGAGCTCATGCTCCAGGACTGCTCTGGGCCCAGACCTTGAAGACAGCGACGTGCAGCGACCCAATAGCCACGAAACAATTCCGCATCATCCAGCCATTGATTCCTGGTCTCACGCTGACCGGGAGCTTGGAGAAGGTACTATATTCACTAGGTCTATGGTGAGCCAACCATTTCCTTGTCCGTCATTTTCTGCTTGCTTTCTGGTTTATCGGATGGCACCGTTCATTTCCCTTTCGTTTCGGCGTGCAACTGACCGTGTTTGCATTACAGGACGCTGTAATTCCTTCAATGGGTGTCCAATTGGGATCTATTACCACGGGGGTCAAGGCGCTGGGACCATGACCATGTTCGGTCAACGTCCACCTACGGTGGTTATTTCATCTAGCCCATCTTCCCCTGCTTCATTGGAGATTGGCGACATCCAGGCTTTCGGTCATTTATCTTTTTCATCTCTGATGCCTTGTTGCAGCGACGACCAATCCAGAATCCTGTTGCTTTTGCGCCTGGCTTGGTGGCTCTCTTTCAAGAATGCTGGTGTTTTGAAGAGCATTTGAGCATGGCAGAGAGAACCCGTTAGGAGATAGGGAGAAAAGCGGGAATTGGAGGGTGACCGGAAGCTCAAGGAGACCAACCTTCGGATCGTCTTTACCCTTCCTTTATGGTCAAGGTCTCGACCTTTTTTACTGGTGGGAGAGCGGTTGGAGAGAATCAATATGGAGAATCTGGATGGAATGAGAGCAGCGGCCACCAAACGTGTCAACAAGGATCATGACGAGTCCCTGCTACAATCACGAGAGGCATCAGCCAACGCATTCCAAACGGAATGCGTCACTTGCAGTTTTGATGCATTCCCGATCGACACATGTGTCATAACCAGCTGTCATGGCCGGACCTTCGGGTCATGGGCGCTGTTTTGGCACAGTCACTGCCATATAGTTTCTTTCATCTGCATTTCATTTTGCATTCCAGTTGCTATTCATTCCTTGGGTTGTTCCCAATGCATACATATAGCATAACCCAGTTGAATGTTGTGTATTCCTGGCCTTTTCTTCACATTGTTCTAACCAATTTTTCAGGTACTAAACCTTTGGAATTCCTGGAGCAACCTTCAATGATGGCACAAAATTGAACACCTAGGGCTTATAGTCACCTGCTCCATGTATGCCGATGATGACAAGCGACTTTTCTCCCACCAATACTAGAAGAGGACTTGGGAGAATAGTTGGACTGTTGTGGCCGCTGTGCAAAAACAGCGCCCATGACCCGAAGGTCCAGCCATGACAGCCAGCTATGATGCATGTGATGATTGGGAACATGTCAAAACTGCAAGTGATGCATTCCATTTGGAATGCGTCGGCTGATGCCTCCCGTGAATCTTATCCCGGACGATCATTCTTTGTCATGCTTCACCTTCCAACGCTATACCCAACTGCACCGTCATTTGTCAAAGCTTCTGCTCTATTGTCACCCAACTGCTTTCTGGCATTCCCTCCAGTTCGACTCAAGCCTGAGATGTTTGTTCAATGGTTTACGATTGCTCCACCGTCCTATCGCCTTCGCACGTCTTTCACAAGACCGCCGTCTCCATTTGCCGGAGTTCTTTCTTCAACCACCCATTGATTTTGCTGATGTCTCTTTGAACACCATGAAGATCGTCCTGCAGATTTTACTTCATTCGAGAAGGACCATTGCGTTGGAATCAATCATGGGTTGTGCTTACCTGAGAGAAAGGTTGGGAGGCGCTGATTTGGGAACAAAGAAGAAGCTCTGCCCGTTAAGTCTTGTTCTCCTTCTCCACCGAGGTTCTGGAATGGAGGTATGCTGGTTCTAATCTCTGTATCTGCTTCAGCTGACGATATTTCTGTAGTCAGAATCCGATTCAATGTATTCATCAAGCTACTGCCACTGTCTTGGCGAAGAGCACAATAAGTACATGTGGTACATTTTCTGTCCTCTAGAGCCCTTTCTACATCGCTAATTGATACTCTAGATGACTATTACGATCCTTGTAAGGTCATCGTGGCCCATTGTCTCATTTTTGTAGGTCACTTTGAGCTTCTACATTGCTGGTCTGACTGAATTCTGTAGCTGAATCAGCAGCAAGTTGGATACCAGGTTTGAGAGCCAAGGAGTGACCCCATCCAACCCTATGATACTCTAGGATATGTTTTGTGGGTCTCCAAGGTCACTGTTCCACATCAGTGCTCTAATTTACATTGAAGCAAAACATCTGACCTTGGTGGCTTTGAATGCCGAAACTATGCCGAACAATGCCGATGCTTACACGAGGCTCGCTTAGCCTCGCTGACCGTTTTAGGAATTTCTTTATTTATTTATTTGATTCATCAAAAAAACGGCGCCAGACATACTTTTCCGAATACACTGTAAGGATGACATATATGATTGCACGTAGTTGAACTCACTTCCAGCTCATCACTTACATCAGTCCAGGCAGCTTTCGCACTGCAACCCTCCCCCCCGGTCACGGCTAAGGTCGCGTGACGTGTCCCCAAATGGAAACGCTCGAGTCCCGGGTGTCCATTCTTCGTTTAACGTGTTTATTCTTGTACCTTTCCCTCATCTTCATAATTTTCTATCAACTACTGTAAATAATTCAGAACCCACCAAACACCTGTGCTACAAGACATTGCTCTCTAAAATCAATTGTGCTGTTGAACCTCCAATCGGAACACTCCAGCACCACCGAATATCTCGGCCACCAATTCCGGAAGCTCAGTTCAATGGCAACCAAATGTTAGTGGTTCTAAAAACATTATTTTGATCTATTCAATGTTTGGAACCAGGGAAGGTGAACAAATTCAGCTTGGTGCAGCACATATGAGTGAGAAACTGACATTTTAGGAGGCAAAAATGGGGGGACTTGTATCTGCCACTGGAACAGTTGGCCTTTAACCCACTGGTTGGCTTATTTGTTGCCAGCGACTTGTAATGTTCCATTCCCCCAATTTTGCGGAACTCGAGAGACCTAAAGCTGCAGCAACTCATTCCCGTGATCTTCTACCACATTTGTTCTTGCTTCGAACTCTACTCCGGCGACGCCGAGGATCACCCTCCATGGGACCTGTCTGTACTCAATGGGCTTCAAGTCTCAAAGGCACCCCCGATTTCTGTTCCAACATAAACCTACAAGGATCATTGCTGGTCACTGTTTGCGGATGAGTAATCGCTGGTCGCTGTTCGTTGATAAGTGCTCGCTTCCCGGATTTGGGGGATCTAGTGGTGTTGGCGGATCTCTGGAGGTCAGTCATTGGAGGCCAGGTGAGTCTTCGACATTATTGGTTCGACACGTTGAGGGATTGTTGTTGTTGATTGCTTTGCTTTTCTCTTTCTCTTTTTTGATGATGATGTTGGATACTTTACTCACGAAGACGAGTGAACTGACAGAATAAAAAGTATCTTTGCAATCAATCCAGGCGATGACCAGGAATTGAACCAGGGCGATCCGTATTAATCAGTCGGACACACTACCATTGTGTCATCATCTCTTATAGAAGCGGGACATGGATATGAATATATACAAGCTTTAGGGACAGGTGAAGATTGAAGGAAATCCTTTTTCTCTTGTTCTCCCCAGTCAACGTTCGTCAAGGCTCCGAGGGCCCTCGAATATATCTTTTCAGCCGCCGTTTCCGACCGATTGAATCTGGAGAAGACTGAACCGCGAATCACGGGAGAAACTTGCGAGAAGAAGATGGGAGTTTTCCGCCCTTGCACGTGCCTCCCGATTTGGGAATAAGTCATATGCTGACCAAACCAGTTCGTCTTCGGCTCAGGTCCACTAAATCAACAATAAACAAGTCAATTTTTAAATATTCTGCTAGCTGTCTCTGTTCTTTTTGGATGAAATAATGATAAACAGAGCTTCTGTTAAGCTCAGGTCTCTCCAAGGTTGCCGGAAGAGTACCCGCCACTCGCTCCCCTCCCCTCCCTCACGAGCTCGGGGGGTCCCCCAAGCCGGGGAGTCTCGGGCGGGCACGCTAAAGACTCGTTCCGGCTTTTAACATATATGGAGAGGGACCATCGTCATGCCTTTCAAAAAGAATGAATCAGCCAGGCTCGAACACCCAACAAACAAGAAAGCTATTGATTGTCCAGGCATATTAAACCACTAGACAATGGAGGCTTCGGAAAGGACCTGTGTAACCACAATAGGTAAGGGCCTGAGTCACGCAATCTCTCACGTCATCGAACTGGTTTGTTGATTTTGAGGTCACTTGGTTTCTTCCCTAATCAGGAAGCACGTGCAAGGGCGGAAAGTCAAAAACTGCGAGAAGAATGAAGGGCTTGGGATGTCATGATTAGTCGACAATCCCAGGTGAGGAAATATACTTATATATATTATTCTCCGCTTGTTGTTGACGGCGTTTCTTCGCTGGCCACCGTCGACCACCGTATCCAATGGACAACGTCTATCAATGGAAAGCAATATACAGCTCTTTCTCGGTATGTCCTTGCAAAACCGTTCGTCAAGTTCAGCTCCTGAAACGAGCGACAGGTCGTTGTTTAGGCATTGGTGACGAGCGGCAGGCGGTGGACGGTGATACCGCGCTCGTCGTCCATCGACTCGGACGCTTCAGCCTCGCAGTGCGCACCCCGACCAACGCGCACACTTCATCCTCAGCCCCGCGCACCCTCGGGTGTGGGAGGGGATTGTTGTTGATCGGGCCGTTTTGGTTTTCTTCATCTCTTTTTCTTTTACAATGTCGGATTAGTACTCTTCCCGTACAATGCCGGATACTCTTCCCGCTTCTCCCTGTGTACCTCACTTCTTCTACCTATGTACATGCCCCTCTCATGTTCTGAGCTCAGGGATATGAAGATTGGAAGATGAATGGCCTGGCAGAATAAAAAGAGCATTGAGGCTTTCGACCTAGGCAACGACCTGGATTCGAACCAGAGCCATCCGTATTATGTAGTCGGGTGTGCTACCACTGCACCATCGCCGCTTATAAAAGATGTCTCAATTATGTACTGTAGCTCGAGCTTCCTCCTATATACCTTCTTGAAACCTGATGATGTTCCTTACGTTCTCGTGTGGCTTCGCAGATATATATATGATGGTTGTAAGAGATAATTTTTAGACGTGTCACCAATACTATTCAAGCGCATTGACAGAACCAAACAAAAAATATGATAGAGATAATCCCAGTAAGGCGATGACCTGGAATCGAACCAGGGCCATCCGTGCAGCAGTGTTGTTAATTGGACGTGCTACCATTACACCATCATTACGAGTCCCACTTGTGGGCTCGTTTGTTGGGAGTGAGCGATTTTGTGGGTACAGCCATCAAAGTACCCAACGGGGATATTCACGTGACACTTGCTTCACGGCTACGTCGCCCGAATTTTCTCGACGTCTGGTTTGAATTTCTCCTCGACAGTCTCCGAAGCAGAAGCAGCGTCATTTGCATCCAATGTGTCTTTCTTGCACGTTGTTGATTCCATCATGACAATCTCCTCTATGGCTTCTTTGATTCTACAGCGAATGTCTCGTGGATATCTTGTGCCGTCTCCTCAGGCTTGGGCATTTTCCAGACTGCTAGCCCTTGACACCCGATTCCTGCATGGCTCCTAGCTGGATGCACCTCATCTGGGGCCTGCTTCCTGAGCGTCACCATGAAAATAAGTAGGTCTTCGGTTCATCGAGAATCGTCATTTTCAATGGCTCACGGTCTCGCCAGGAAACCATAATCCCTTCTTTCTCTGCTCATTGGATATCGAGACAGCTGTGCATGATTCAAGGTGAATATTATTGTCCTTTTCCTCTGGTCAAAATCTCTGATGTAGTTTCTGGCAGCAAAACTAGCCGGGAAACCCGGAAGCTGGATGCGGAATCAATGCATTTCGAAGGAATCTGTGCGCTCACCGTTGGACGATAGCATGACGAAGGAGATTCACCAGGGAGAGAAGACGCCAGTCAGAGAAGACGAAAAGCATTTCATGAAGACAAGGTTCGTCACATTTCTGTCTACCCTAGTACCGCTGAACGAGCCTTTAGTCATCCCAGCTTTTCTCGTGGCGACAGTTTGCATGGCTCCGCCACTGCTTTGCAACCTCCTGCGATCCCTACCAATCTCAAATTCAACATTATGCAGCGATTCTCTTGTCAGTCGATGCAGAAGGGATCAACATCAAGGTCTGTGATTCTGGGCTTTATTACATTTCAGCTGCTCATTGGGCTTCGAGACTTTCTCCCTGGCTCGTCAGTCCACGTTAGGCCTTTTCAGGTTTCTTTTTCTTTTGTCTTACCTGCTTTATCCAATATTGACTGACGGCTCACAGTATACGCTCTGTCCAGTGACCAAATGGTTTACACCACCTTATGCCTCGGCGACCGGCTTTCAACACGACATAGCATAACGCCAGGGAGGACAAAGATGAGAATGAGGATGTATTTGATGAAAGAAACCCTTGTCCATCTCTTTCTACTACATGTTGACATGGGTGGCCTGACGTTGAAACACCAAGGTCTGATGAATATCTGTGACGGATAATCATGGATCACAACGAGATTCTGCAGCTGGTGCGTCTCAAAATATGCCACAAAGGTCTGAGCTAACCCTTTTCTTTTGCCCAGGTCTGTCGACAGGACCATGTCGCTCATTGGTGCCGCAAAGCTTATAGATTCCGGCTTCCCCAGCACCTTTATAGCGACACAATTTGCACCTCTATATTGCCCCAAATGATCCAAATCTCTTCAGGAGACCATTACTCCCGCCAAAACTAGTTTTGGTGGTCACCATCACCGCTGGCGCTAAATCTGTCATTTCGAACATCTCGAAGGTATGCTTCAGCGTATTATGTGTCGATTCAGGCTCATATCAAGACTGTTAGGTGAAGCCTGCGAAGCTGTAGCACCAATATATCGGTCTCTGCAGTCTATCTTGGCTCTTCGCGCTAAAACTGTGTCCCCTGCAACAGGACCTGGCGCCAGCTTCTTTCTGATGATCTGCAAACATTATAGACATGCCAACGCAGCCGGAGAAAGCAGCTAGAACCGCAATGGACCAACTTTTTTTCATTCACCTTCGCTGCGACACAATTCACCTTCGGAATTCTACTGGCCTTATTCTCTATTCCAATTCCATAACAGCATTCCTTTGCATCTCTTGATATCACCGAAATGTTGCCAGCTCTGTTTTCGCATCCTGTCTTTTCCACTTTTCGTCTTGGAATGCAAGGTGGTGAAAAGTTGAATTTATGACTTTTGTCAGGTATGATCTGATGCTTCCTGTGACGATTCAGACTGATCTTATCATTCCTACAGGTGAGCTGCAGAGTCAGAAGATCAATATTTCACCCTTGACTGTTGAAATCAGTGATTCAAGCTACAATTGGGACTCGAGACATGTATACCAGCACCTGCTCTTCATCTCTGACCTATGAAGCATCTACTGATATCAGGGCAGCTGCCTGTGGCACCCAGATTGCACCACAACCATCTAGACTTTCCAACTTTTTCGGTGACCGAGATTTCCAACTTTTCTCAGGTATGATTTACCGCTTTTGTGACAACTACGATTGAACTTTCCATTGCTAGAAGCAAGCCAGAGACATATCAGAGCGACATTCTGCCGTCAAGCGATGATTTTGGCATTTGAGCTACAGTCGTGTCTCGAGAGATATGTGCAACGACTGCTCTTGCTCGATGTCAGGACGGATCTGCGGATATCAGAGCAACTACAGATGGTAGCCAGATCATAAGGGGATGAGATAGATTGTTGAAGTTCTGTCGGTTTCAGAGTACATTTTGATTTGGATGACCAAGACCAGATCCATCATCGTGTGCTTTTTCAGGCAGGGCTGGCTTAACGGTTGTCCATGATTTGTACTTGACATTACTCTCTTAGCAAGGCCTATTCGAACCTCTGTCGTACAGTTTGATTTGGATGACCAAGGTCAACACTAGCGCCGCGCGCCTGTATGAGGTAAAGCTTGACAGCTGTTCATGATCTGTACTTGATGTGCGACCTCGCGGTGCTCTTGGCGATTTACGCTACCAGTTCGCGACAAGATGCTGCTGCTGCTGCAAGCTCAAGGAGAGGAGATCGATAGGTTTGCGCTCTTTTTCTCTCATCTTGCTACGATCCTTACAAGCTGGTAGGTCAAACAACCATTCATCCGACATCTCCAGATAAACGGAAGGTCCAGAAGTGAGATTGAGTGGATGAAACTCTTACCGACGGCTGTGTAGTATTAGCGTTTGAACTGCCAATATTGTGATTAGTGTATGTCAAGTATAATGGAGTACTTGATGATTTAAGATTCATGCTATTTCATTGCCAGTGAAAAAAGGGGGGACTCGTATCTGCCACGGGGAACCCGTTGGCCTCTACACCACTGGTCACTTCAAAGGTAGAAACAAAGCATCGTACTTCAGTTCCCTTTGGACCCGAAGGACTCTATTTCCTGTACTATATCATGCATTTTGTTGACTATATCACCCATTTCTTCGCCGATATCGCCTTGCCGCGCTCCGAGACATCAAAGTGCATTGCCATATCTCGCCGTCCCAATAGATGCTTTGCAGGAGCTAGCTCACTGATACCATCAGCTATAAGTAGTCTCACCATGATCCACTTGCCATGCAAGCAAACCTGGTCGATACCGCTCCTGCAGCTCTTTAAATATTGCCGCCAGACCAAGCAGGTTATGTTTCTGACGGTGACGAGCCTTTTCGAGCCTTTTCCTGGACCACTGGACTTTGAAGCCTTTTCTTTCTGGGGGCTTTATGACTTCAAGGGAAATGCAGATTTCGAAAATGACCCGCGGGCATCTGCTAAGGGTGCCTGTTCCTGGCCGCGGCGATCTTGAATGATAGGCAAAATAGAGTTTGACCCCCGAGACAACTATACATATGGCAGGAGACTTGAATGATACCAGATTCTTAACACCTCAAAATATTTGAAACAAAATAAATATTGAGCCTCTAAGAGGCTACCACTCCGGGAAAGCGTGTCATCCTTGTGCAGGGGCCATGCTAATCTTCTCTGTATCGTTCCAATGTTTACGTAAGTCACCCCGAAGGGGACATAAGTTGTACTGGCTTTTTCCGTAATCGAGATAACGAGAATCCAGAGGTTCTACGGATGGGATCGACACAAAATATCTGAAAGTTGATGTGAAAGCTGGAGATGAACAGTTCCTCAAAGCCAGAATACTTGCAACATCGCACCTTCCAAATCCTCAATGAGTCTCCTCTCGATTCCCTCCATGAAAGCTTTCACCAGTTGATTCCTAGCAGACAGCCGACAAGTACATGGACATTGGCCAATGGATAACAGTCAAATACCGATTCCTGAGACAGGCCTAAGCCAACTCAAATTCATGTCCAGCTCAAGGGCAACTCAGGGCATACTAATGTAACACATAGATACCGAGGAAAAGAAAATTCTGTCATTCAGGCAAAAGACCCATGGTGATCACTTCAATGTTTATAAAGTCAGTGTCCGACCTCCGTGTCGCTGCGATGGGCTATATTTATTTGTGGAAAGTTGCATAAGTACACTAGTGGGACAGCAGCGGACATGTACTGTGGCTTCTGAAAAGTTTGATTCAGTTCCCACTGCAACTCAGAGTGAGGATGACGTTGCACTAGACCTGTAACATGTCCCTCATCTCGAGAACCTCGATAGAGGGACCTGTAAATCTAAATTTATTTTTGGCGTTGACGTTTCCGACCCGACCCAGCTGAGTCATGAAGCCCATATCCGGTATTCGCTCGGTTTGGAATGGTGACGTCACAGTGCCATATCCGCATTTTGCTCTTTCCCTTCGCGACTTGAAGCGACGCTCATGCGAAAATGACCTACCAGCACCGGCTGAAGCATCATGGTATCCCTGGCGCCGGCTCATTCCAAGCTTTTGTGCTGATTTTAGCAGCTCCGTCGCTGCCATTCAGCATACCTGCCGCTCCTGCATTTCCTCATAGAGAACCGGTTCACAA